ACTCTACTCGAATAGATGTAGAAATTTGTTAAAAAAATAAAATTGACTATCGGTCATTGCTTTTATTTTATTTAGGTCAAAAAAGTTTCACTGAAATATCTTAAAGTGACTTTTTTTTATCGACTATTAGATCAATAATGAATAAGCCCCTTTTACTTTTTGTAATTCTACAATATTTTTTATTGAATTCTTTGTTATTTGTCCTTGTAACAAATTCTAAATAACTGTTTTCAATATAATGTGTGCACCTCGAACATAATAACCATGGAAAAGTTATATAATTACATATATTTTTCTATTATATTTTGATGTCTTATGATTTTTTTTATTTAATTTAATGTTGAGGAATAGTAGTATTATCCAATCATTACTTGAATTAGATGTTTTTTAAGCATTATAATAACTAAAAACATCTATTATTTTACAAATTATAACTTTCACATAAATGATGCATTTCATTATTAAGAAGAATATTAGTACAAAATGATTGTAGTTTCCAATATTAAAATTCTATAACTTTTACTTACATTGTAAAGTATATATTTAGATAAAAATTCAGTAAATTTATATACAATTAATTAACATTATTAGGAATGTTGAATTATTTATTAAAGGCATTTGTGATTATGCAAATGTAGTAAAATATAAATATTCATTGTAATGGGCTATTATTTCTTAAGTTATTGAATTATTTTATTTTATATACCTATTTTATAAAAATCCCTCCATAAAAAATTGAATTCAAAGACTTAATAAATTATGGTGATGTAAAAAATATAATTTGATGTAAGTTTAGTTGTCCTATGTTTGTTTCAGAATTTAATTTATTTTAATATAATCGAGTTTTACACGTATTTTTAGTAATGTTAATTAGCAAAATACAATGCAGATAACTCAATTGCAATACTACAATCTAAAGTATGCATACGTATTCAATATTTAATTAAAAAATTTACTGTGATTTTAATAAATATAGATTCATCATATTGAAATGAATAAACATATATATATATGTTATTGACGATTATACATAAATTATTTTTCAATTAATATACTTAATAAAATACGTTTTTAAATATTCTTATAGTAAGCAAAAGGATGTACAGTTAGTGGGGTCGTAAATATCAGGTAATTTTTGACACAAATATTAAGTTTATTGGCAACAATGTTCAATAATTTAAAAAATAATAATCTAAATATATTTTTAAAGCTCTATTAGTTTATTAGAATTCATTTCTTGTACAATAATTTTGAGCAATATCGATAAGAAAAAGGAATTGGAAAAATTAATTTTTTCAAACTTCTGTAATTCGATAACATTTTGCATTGTATCTAGTTAATAAATGTTATAATGCAATTAATTAATCAGTTCGTTTGATTTGAAATTTCAAACAATCAATATTTCGAAAAATTAAATTAAAAAGATATATCTGTATATATACAATTAATGCCCAGCAGGAAAGGGGAGGAAAATTCGCAAAGTTATCGAAAGCAGGTCAAACTGTTTGAGTGTTGACGAGCGTTGTTGAATGCGCAAAAAGTAAGGAAATAGAGATTAAATGTATGTACATGTGCACACATGCGCACAGGCATCTTTGCAGTTAACTGTACGCATACGGTATACATTAACGAAAATGACAAATACCAATAGAGTAGATTGTTGATTATAGAATAATATATTTTATTTTCAAAGAAAACAATATAAAAAAAAAAAAAAAAAGTGGAAATAAAATTATATATCTTATATTAGATTTAAGGACTAATGAAGATTTTTAATAAGAATATATTATTATTACGTTGTATTTTATAATAAAAAATATTAATCTAAATAGGATCAAAGGAAAACATGAAAGTCGCTTCTTACTATCTTGATTCATGATTTTGAAGATGAAGGCAAAATAGTAGTAATGCATTCGAATTAAATTGCCCTTCCATTATTTTAAAAGTTAAATACTTATCTTGAGGAATATTTTTAATATCTTTAATATATTATAACAATAATACTGCTAAGAGATCAAGCATTGTTACTATTATCCTTAATTGGCCCCATATTTGTTCAACTTTCAAACATTATAATAGAAAAAGTTACTACTAATCGAATCTCTACAATATTTCTCTCTCTCTCTCTCTCTCTCTCTCTCTCTCTTCATAGTTGAATAATTAACGAAGACATGTACCTGCTGAAAGCTGCCATCCTCTATTTACTTATTGTAACCTATTCGATATGAGTTTATACTATTAGTTTCATAATGGCCTTGGAATTGAATGTTACGGTGATTAAGCACTGCTTAAATTGTTTGACCTCGTCAATCTTACGTCAAGAGTTCCTTTATAGGCCCTTAGGCGTCTTTGTCTACACTTCTTAATTTATAAAACATTACATTATTTATATTCAATTAAACCTTATTTAATATTGTATTTTATTTCATTTAATTTTATATCATATATATATATATATATATATATATTTTCTTTATTTATAAATTTAAAAAGCAAAGTTTTTAAAATTCAATTGTGTATTAATATAATAATAATATGCAAATGCTATTTGTTATTTAATATTAGAAGAAAATATAAAATTAGGCAAATCCATCTCCGTTAAAAATATCTGTCGCTTTGACTTTATTTTTTGCTTAAAAGATACAATATTTCGTAATTAAATTTTTCTGGTATTTCCATAAATAAATAATTATAGATTGTAATTTAAACATTCCTTTTATTTTTTTTATTTATTTTTTTATTTTTTTTTATACAAATTTATTAATGTTTTATATAAAAACATATTTTATTTTGTGAAGAATATAAGATTGAAACTAGTTGAATACATTCATTAATAAGATTTTCCAATCTTAATATGGATGATAAAAATGTTTCGAAAATATTTGTAAAATTTATGAAAATAATGATTAGAAATCACATAAAAAACTATTATTACAAATTAAAATAAAATTCTGTTCAAGTTTAGGTTCAATTTAAACCAAAATTGACGAATTATCTCTTATGCAACTTCTATAATAAGTTTTTATATAAAGACTAAGATATTTCAATCAGCCGATTATATTTTTTCATAAAATAAAATTACCATGAAAATAATACATTAATCTTACTCAGCTTGATGTAAAATAATCTACATATACATTTTTAATATATATTATATAAAAATATCTTATGCGAATAGCAATAATGTTTTCGAAGAAAAAGTATTATTATTATGATTGACACAAAAAAACGACACAAAAAATATAAAACATACAATTAAAAATTTGATTAAAAAAAGAATATAATACCTATTTGTATAGTATTTGTAAATTTTGCTTGAAATTCTAAAAAAACGTTTACAATGCATGCTATATGCTATATATATGTTAGTTTATAATGGTAAAACATAGGCAATGAATGTATGTTTCATTAACATAAAATAATTTATTATGATTAAATTAATTTATAACTACGGTTAAAGTGGAAAAGTATTTAAAACGTTTTAAATGCATAGAAACAAAGCATGACAATCTTTGTCGGTATATTAAGAAAAATTATTCAAAATACAGCATATTAACATTCAATAAAATTTCATATATTTCTCAATATTCGTAGTAATTTAATTTAAGAATTAGAGTGATTTATAAGTATATTAGTGCTTGACAAATTCATGCTGAAATATTAATTAATTTATGTTATTTTATCATATTTCATAAATTTTCATGGAAACAGATTCAACAGAAATTCACTGAATGTTTAAACCTTGTTAATGAATAATTTTACAATGTTCAAATAAAATGAGGCATTTTACTGTGAAATAGATTTACTTTTTATTTATAATATTAGCTGCACCGTTTAAGCGTTAAATTAATAAACATCTATTCATAAAATTGCAGCTTTTCCTATTTAAATATAACACAAATAACAAATAAAGTAGAATTACTGTACATGCATTTTTAAAAAATCAAGTAAATTAAATGAAAATTAAATAAATTATGATGTATGAAGACCGGCATCACAAAGTACTGTTGTCGCTGCTTATAAACATTTCCAGGCTTGTTATTGATTAACAGAATTTGTATTTGATCTAAAACGACTTACATACTAACAAAATTATATATTAGATTAGGAATTAAGAAATTTTTTAGTTTTCTTATTTTTAACGAATAAAGTACGAGAGTAACGGAGATTGAGTTATAAAGACTTTTTATGCTTTCACTACATATAACTAATCACTTTGTATGGAATTGAATTTGTTTTCTATAACAAAAAAAAATCCATATCGTACTTGATATCCACTAAGCTGTATACTTTCTGAATAATTTTTTAAAGACACTGAGTATTAAATGAAAATATTAAATGCAAATAAGAAATTCAAATTATTCAACGTAAAATTAAAGGAAATATTAAAGAATATTAAATCTCGAGTGTTTTGGCTTTTTCAATTTCAGGCTGGATAAAGTTTTAATTTCATCTGACTTTCAAATTAGGATTTATGTAAAGACAATATTTCATTTCATTTTTAAATTAGTTAACTAAAGCAATTGTGAATAAAATTTCAATATATATATATATTTTTTTTTTTGTTTTGCATAAATCTAAGTTATTTTTTATTTAAGAATTATTATATTTGGCATCGTGGGAAGATGTGAATTTGTCATTCACGTATTAATTAATTACAAAAGAATGATCACATCATAGGACTGAAACTTGACCGAAATAGATCATGTTATTATATTTTACTGTTTTATATTTTGTCATTACCTTATGCGTTTTTCACCTAAGCTGTTGTTAAAAATGTAAAATATATATTCGTGGGCGTTTTACTTAAATTATTACTAAGCATTATTTTAATACCGAATACAATAATGCAGTGCAAAAATTAATTTTATTATTATTCTGACAAAATAATAGTGGACAAGCACTTAGCAACTCTCTTCCAACGCTAGAATGCGTGTTATATATATATATATATATATATATATATATTCCTGACCTTCCCCTCTTTTTTTTATTGCAGAATGCCTAACGATAACACGCCGGTATGTGGCTGCGGAGTCGTCCTGGATTTACCCAAGTCGCGAAACGGCATGACAGCGATATCCACAAGGAACTTCACCATACTGATTCCCAAGCCAAGCAAAAATAATGACAGTGGCAAGGTCGAAGGCAGTAGATCCGCGACGAAGAAGACGGCGGAACCGGAGCATGTAACGAGGGGTCGGGGATCGAACAGCAGGACTTCCGATTCAGGCAGCACAAGCTCCGTCAGCGAGCACTCAACAAGAATGATAAAAAACAAGAAGAAGGATAGACATATTAAGGCATCGAGAAGGACTCGCAGTGCGGATAGAGCCGAGTCCCATTACACCTACATAGGTGAGACTTACATTACGCATAAAATTTTAATTAACAATTTTTTACTTAAAATTTAATACGTATTTTTGTAAATAGTGTTTTATATATTTATATTTATCACGTTAACATATTATATTCTGAATTTCAATAGAGAATAAATCACCGACGAGTACTAAATTTGAATGCAATGAATTGTAAGTATCCTGGAATAAATACTAATAATAGTAGTGATTTTCATAAATTCTGGTATTTTCGATAGCAAAAGAAAAAATAATAAAAAAAAAGTGAAAAAGTAGAATTGCAAATATACGATGTGCAAGCAATATAGAGAGGCAAGTATAAATAGAAGAATAAGAACATTTAAACTTATTTATGTTATCTTTTAATTTTATACTATAATAATATTTTGTTAAGAAATACAATAATTAAACTTAAAATATTAATCAAATGTTTATTTATTTATTTGACATACAAATAATTTTATTCAATACCCTCGTATTACATTTACATACTAAATTTTTTTTAATTTAAGCAACAATTCATCATCTATTAAGAAATGCAAATGCTAATTAAAAATATAGTCTTAATGCTTATTTATTGTATTATTATTAATTTTCTTATATTATTTTATTAAAATTAATTTATTATTATTTATTTATTAAATAATGCAGATATTTTTATACATTTTGATTGATTGAACATACACTGTAAAAATGATTTTATATTCACATTAATTAAATGAAAATATGTTATATGTTCATATCGTTAAACAATATTTATTTTTATTTTTATGCTCATTGAAATATGAAAATACATAGGTAATTAAGTATTCGTACGCATTCGATAAAATATATCTATAATTAATTACATTTAACAATATAATTATTACAAATATTTTGATTTAATATTAACATTATTTATTATTTCTAAGTAAAACATTATTACAATTGTTTATTTTTTATTTTAATTATGAGACCCACATTGTATTAAAAAAAGTATTAGATAAAAAATATTTAAATAATAAATCTGTTCTGTTATTTAGAATTTTTTTAATTAAACAACACAATTAATGTTTATGTATTAATGTTTATGTAATTAATGTATAAATTGTAAAATTCTTCAAAAAATTTTCATATATAAATATTTATTAATTGTATAGATGAAAATAAGCGTGAAAAAGCACTTTTGAGATTTGTTCTACTTTGGTTTATAAAAATAATACGAACTTCGGCAAAATATTTATCCTAACAAATGTATAAATAGTAGTTGCTAAGCATTTTAAAATTTGTTGCAAATTTACATTAAAAAATCATTAAAATATTATGTTTGCACGTAATATTTATAGTATATACTATATTACAATATTACATTTTGCAATGAAAAAATTGACAGTATATATATATATATATATATATATATATATTAATATTGTTAATATATAGATAAAATTAGATTGTTTGTGCCATGTAAACAGTAAAATAATAATATATTTGATTTTTGCATTATAAAATTTGACACTATATTTTTATCATTTTCTTCAAATGCTTTCACATAAATAAGGAAAATAAAAGTTTGGCAAACTAAATATAAGTTCAGGGGTATATTATACGCAGAAAAATCCTATATCAATAAACCAGTATAATCCGATACATATATATATATATATATATATATATATATATATATAAATATAAGAGGTATAGTTATAATGTACTGGTTTGAATGAATATTAAATTGCAATAATTGGTAAAATAAAATGAATAAAAATCTTATAATAAATATAGATATATTTTAAACAAAAAATTAGTGTCTACAAAACCATTTTCGTGAAACATAATTAATTACTTATTTTACAATCTTCGGAAATAACGGTTTTGCTGTTGCAGATTCGGGATCGAGTATCGTAGGCTCAGGAATACGTCAGAATACGATCGCGGAGGCTGTTTACTGTACCATTGACAGTGACTTTGAAGAGCAGCAGCAACAGCAGCAGCAGCAGCAGCAGCAACAGCAGCAGCAGCAGCAGCAGCATCAACATCATCATCAACAGCAGCAGCAACAACAGCCGCAACAACAGCATCAACCGCAGCAGCAGCAGCAGCAGCAGCAGCAACAGCAGCAGCAGACGATGACACTCGCGGCAAATGGCGGCGGAGCTGCGAATAATACGAACGTCCACCTTGGCATGCAGAACAATCGAGCCCAGCATTCGGCTTACACGGTACCATCGATGACTTCGCCACCGCCCAGCTACGACGTTGCCATCGCCAATTCTTGGCAGGTGAGCCCATTGGATATATTCATGCTTTTGGGTCCATTTTACTGCCCATTATAGTTTTCTAATTTAAGTGCGAATGCAACACCATCGATCTTAGCTTTCAAAAATCTCTCATGTCAACCACTCCATGACTTTTCATTTTTTTCAACATTTAGAATCTATAAATTAAATGGGACTTTATCAAATGAATTCTCATTTCTCCCTCTGATGAATGAAATCTCTGTTCTCCCCTTAATGCCCCTAATTAAATTAGTATATCACTGGATCCTACTATGTTATACTAATTAATAACTAATAAAATAATGTATTTATTTATTTTTGAAATAAATTCTTTAATTTATTTCTTTTATTATTCTTTAATTGTGGCATTATTAAAATCCACATTGAATTGGAATATATGCATCTTCATTCATTGAACTTTTGCTATTACTTTGATGTTATAAACATTGTATGAAATATGTCGAGTGCATTGAAAAAATTAATCTTCAAGTGATTTTTTAGAGAAATGTTTTGAAACTGAAGTTTCTTTAAAAAAAAAAATAATAAGCAAGATATTCTCTTTCACATTAGCTATATAAAATTTTCGTATATTCAATATAAAGTATATTTCATTATATTTCTATTTAAAGTTTGATAAATTTGAATGCGTAGATATATAAAGTACTTTTGTTAAATTAACCAGTGTGAATAACTAGAGTTTTTTTTAATGATTTAATACAGATAATAATAATAATCCATTAATTCTATACTTAAAAATGGGACCAAGTTTTTCTTGTATCAGGAAGAATGAATGAAAAACAAAAATGGTTATCCACTTTTTATATACTTTTTTCTACATGTGCTTTTTACTATAAGTAAGATTAATGTTAAGCATTAAATAAAAGAGTGAGATAAAATTGAAAAAAATTAACAAGACAGAGACAAATTGTTTCTATTTAACTTTCTTGCAAATATCTTTGTAAATTCTAGTTATCTATTGCCGCCACTCAAATTAATAAGATAATATATAATTTACCAATTACAGTGAGATTTAATTTTAATGCGTAAAATTAATGGGAACAAATTCAAATGTTGAATAAATAAAATTAATAAAATACGATGTAAAAGTAAAATAAATAAAAAATAAAGTTTCACGACTCGCGAAATTCACATAATTATATTAATATTATAACAATAAATTTTATATTGATACTTAGTATTACGTCTTTTCTTTTGTTATATTAATTATTAAAACATAATATTTAAAACATATTACGTATGCATAATAATATTAGAATTTTCCATATTTTAAGGGAACGAAGTGTAAAGTAAAAGAGCGACTTAATAGTGCATAAAAATGTTTTCACTTGATTTAAAATCAATATATACTTCATTAATAATACACGTCACTACCATATTATTATGTTCAGTAAAAATTAATTTTATTAATAAATTAGTTTTTCAATAATCATAAAAAGTATTTAATAAAGAATCGTATCGACAGCTGTTAAGCAAACTAACAACATTATTATTAAGATTGGAAATTTAATTAGAAATAATAAATATAATTCCAATATATTTTTATATTTTTATTCAATAGAATATTGTTATTTATTATTTTTCTTTACCCGATACGAGCATCTTCAATCAAGCATTTGGAATTTTGTTGAGTAATTGTTTCTATTTATAAAATAACGATTCTTATATATATATATATATATATATATATATATATATATATATATTATATAATAATGTTACATTATTATTTTTTAATTTAAATATTTATATTATAATAATTAAAAAGTCATTTTAATACTTTTAATTCATTAGGTGTAATAAGATTACTTTCCTGTATGAATAGTAATTTGATACAAATGAGAAAATTCTTATTCGTATCATAATTAAAATGAAATAATATCTACTTTCAATATTCCTGAAATTCTGGCAGAATTTTTATCAATTATTTATATAAATTTTCACTAATTTTGTTAATGTAACGAAAGATGGAAAAAAAAACATTATAACATAAATATAAATATAGTGGCAAACTTAACAATTTGAGTAATACTTAAATAATCTATCAAGAATTAATATATTCTTACATACAATACTTTTATATAAAATTCTCTTATATTAATTCTGATATTATTAAGTCTCATATTATCATTCATTGATTTAATCTATAACTTTCAACATCTTAAATGTAATGCATAAAAGTGAAAAATAATAATAATAGTACAATGTAAAATTGCTGATGTAGCTTTTTGAAAAAATAAAAACATAATTATGTTAATTACAATCAATTAAAAAAATAAAACCCTGGTAAAAAAAATTGTCTTTAGTGATATTATGATGTAAAGTTGCAAGTGTAATTCAATCAGTTCATAAAATTATATTTAAAATTTTCTTTTCAGTGTGTATTGTAAAAATTATTTTATAGTTTTTAAGCTATATTATGTTTTCTATAAAATCAATATATTAACAAGAATTGATTCATTAACAAGAAATAAGTATACATTTGACTTCATAAATCTATACTAAAATCCATGTAAATTGTCCTAAAATCTTGGTAAATGACTAGAAGATGCATCAGCTTCCCTATAACATTTTCACTTCACACAAGTGTAGAACATCTTTGAAACATTAAGTTGGCGAGTGGAGTATTTTGCACGCAGTTTCTTGGTATCAAATTGAACATTAATTTCCCAGAGTACCGGTACCCATTCCAAATTCGCATTCGGTTCGTGTTATCTCCTTTCATTCGCAGTTTGAATTTGTCTCTGTCAACTCCAACGTAGAAGGAAGAAGTACGAGAGATAGAGTCCTATCGTGAAACTCCTCGAACCTCCATGTTTTTACTTACTATAATTTCTCTACTTGGTATATAAAGTCTATTCAAATATTATATGAAATAAATAATGTCTAAAGATATTAGTTTGAGAATTTGGAGTACTTGTAGTTTATGAAGATAAAATACTATCTTTCTTTCCTCTACTCTAATCATTTGACTAAATACCAAAATATCTATAGTAATGCATATTTCCAGGGGATATTGTATTTTTAAATATCAATATATAAATTGAATAATTTTCCCGGCATACGATAATAGAATAATACAGCCATAAGAATATTTTTTATATAAATTGTAAAATTGCAATATAAATATAACGACGAATATAATGAACATTTTTATGAGTATTAAATGAATTTGTTCCAAGACAAAGCTTCAGCTAGTGATAATTAATATATAGTAGACTTTATTAAATAATTAAATAATTAAATAATATTGACAATTAAATAAATGAAAATGTAAATTAAAAAATTTATCATTCTTTAAAAAAAAATGCCTTAAAGGATTTTAAAAAATGCCTGAAAGGATAATTTTATTTTTAATTTATTATCATAGTATTCTATTTTCTTTTACTTCCAGCAATAAAAAATTCATGAAAACTCTAGTTAAATCTATTTCATATCAATTTTTTAAAACTATTGTTACAGATAGAATAATAAACCGTAATACATATATTTTTTTATTTGCTTCTGTACAAAAAATAATAGTTTTATTTTATTGTTTAGCGATGATACGTATAAAAAGTCTATGTCTCGTGATAAAACTCTATCTTGTTTCAAATTGTAAATTTTTGATAGCAACGTATATTATAAATAATAGATAATTGTGTCTATAGTTATTCTGGAAAAATTATAAATTACTAAAATACAATTTAGTCTTAATGCAATATAGTATGAATTAAGTTTTAAGAGGAATGTCACGCGTATTAATTCAAATGAAATTAATTAATATTCGAGTACACTTACAAAATAAACTGTCGGAACATATTTCTCAAGAATATATCAAGTACATTAATGATATATGTTTCGTATATAAAATGTCGGGGAGTAAAAGCATTCCAATTCACTTATCGTATCGTCACGGCGGAAAAGTTGCATCGTAGTTCCCGGCATTTTTACATAAAGGCGTATCTCGCTATTTTCACATCTTCCTGACTCTACGTTTTAAATTTTAATGTACTTTCGCCCATCCGAGGAGAATTTTTATCTAAATATAAACACATTCTTGTATAATTCTACACCGTTTCAAATATAAATATGTTTTTTCATCTACATGCCTTTATCCGATATATACATATGTATACTTCTATAGACAAACATGTACCTTAAACACACACACACACACACTCTCTCTCTCTCTCTCTCTCACGCATGCACGTACGCACGCACATAGGTCACGCATAAACTTATATAAATTCAATTACAACAAAAAGCGCAGTAGATTGATTTTTATATGAACACGAGGGATTACATACATCAGTAAAATAAAATATTATTTTTAAGTATTTCTATGCATAGATGTATATTATACATACATATGGATTATTTGTAAATAATTTCAAGTGTGTACATAAATATATATATTTATGCACCAGATATATATTTAATTTCAAAAGAAGCTTATTACATTAATTATAAATCAAATTTATAAAAAAAAAAAAAAAAAAAAAAAGAAAAAAAAAGAAAATAAAATAATAGCAATTTTAAAATCAATTGTTACTATTATGATAGGAAGTACAATTTTTCTATAAGTTGTCGATGAAGGGATCGGAGAAATTAAGAGATCTTCCATTATCCTCTGACTATACTTGTACAGATATAATATAGACTCATGAAAAATGAAGATATACGTGCATTTAAACTCTGTCGGCATAATTAATTTTTACAATTATTCCATTTCAAATTTACTATAATTTTTCATTATAATTATATATTAAAATAAACAAGTAATAAATATATATATATATATATATATAAGTTTAAGCGTATTAATTATATCTAAATTAATAGTTTTTTCCATTTACATGTTTGTAAATAAACAAAGAGTAAGAGTAAGAAGAAACCGTAATAAACAAATATATAACTTTATTATGAAATTTGATTCAATACATATAATTGTTTATAATAAAAAAAAAAAGTTTTATTGTGATTGATAAAATTATAAAAGAACT